TTTGATATACTATCCAATGACATCTTAACATGTGTTTCTATAATATAATAAAATAATAATAAAATAAAAACACAATTAAACAGAAGAAGTTTCATTTCAAATTCATTTTCTTCAATTTCTCTCATTCGGTCTCAATGTTCTCTACCTCTCAAACTAATTTAATAAAATCACATAGATTCATGGCACATAATTGCAATATAGTCATAACAAACAGACATGTGATAACATAAATTAAAGCAAGCACCCAACAAAAATAGAGAAGAGCACGAGTTACCGAAATCGAAGTGTCGCAATGGTACGAGCTTGTTACGTGGAACAGAGTCAGATGTGAGTGCAAAAGAGGCATCGGTTGATGCGTGTTGGCGGAGTTTTGATGGAGTGCAGTGTTAAAGCGGTTGTGATCGATTCTCGGCGGTGATTACATGGATGACTCCGGAAGTGGTGCGACGATGGAGCTCATGATTCTAAATTCCTTTTACTTTTCCTGTTTTCTTTGAATCCAATCTCTTGTTATTTTGAATTTTGTTTGTGTGTACTTTGTTCTTTTCTAATGCATATATATATATATATATATATATATATATATATATATATATATATATATATATATATATATATATATATATATATATATATATATATATATATATATATATATATATATATATATATATATATATATATATATATATATATATATATATATATATATATATATATATATATATATATATATATATATATATATATATATATGTATATATATATATATATATATATATATATATATATATATATATATATATATATATATATATATATATATATATATATATATATATATATATATATATATATATATATATATATATATATATATATATATATATATATATATATATATATATATATATATATATATATATATATATATATATATATATATATATATATAGGACTAGAAAATAGACAAGAATGATAATAACAATTAACAAAATGTTTTTTTTGTTTTTTATAATAAGACAAGAATAAAAGAAATTAAAAATCATGTTTATATGTTTTTTATGATAAGACAAGAATAAAAAGAATTAAAAATTATGTTTTTGTGTTTTTGTATGTTAAGACAAGAATAAAAAGAATTAAAAATTATGTTTTTGTGTTTTTGTATGTTAAGACAAGAATAAAAAGAATTAAAAATTATGTTTTTGTGTTTTTTAAAAAAGAAAATATTAATAAACAAATTAAAAATAAAATTAATCAATAAAAATAAAAATTTAAATTAAATATCTAATTAAATCTAAATAAACTAAATGATTATTTAAATAAAAATGATTAAAAAACGAAATAAAAAGTCGGGCAGAAAAGTGCTCGAAAAAATAAAATGAACACACCAAAATAATCAGCGCGAAATAAACATATTGTAAAAATACATCGTTTGGTCAGATTTTGAAATAAATTTAAACCGGTTTGTCTGTAAATCCAACAAATTTATTCTGATTGACATTTCACACACTATGCAAGATGAAGTACATGCTATGTTATGTAGATGATGCAAAACAAAATCTTAGGGTAAAAAATTTGGGTATGACACTGACCCGCTGCCTTTTTGGCATCCCCTGCGAAGATGGAGATTGGCTGCCTTGGGGGGAAGAGGATGAACCTCCGAGCATATGGTCGGGATCAGGCATCTGCTCTACTTGGGCAACTTGCCCCTTACCGGCCTTTTTTCCACCTTTGCTAGCCGCTAGCTTCTTTACGCGTTCCTGCATGCTCGACATCTTACTTGCAAAAGAAAAAACAGACAAGTTAACAAACAGCAAACCAACGATAGAAATATAAAAAGAGCTCAGGCAAGGGACGGGCCCGCTACCTAAAAACCGTAAGGCTTCCTCGTCGGACACACACTCGAGAAGGGCCTTCATGTTTATCAACTGTGACTCCCTAAGAACCTCCCCGCGAGCGTCGAGGATAAAATACCCATCCAGAGTAACACATTTCGCGGGAGTGTAGCCAGAGACAAATTTGACCAGTTTCTGGTAGGCCACCCAAGCATCAGCATCCAACGAGCCCGACCTGACTATATAATTGTTCGTGCCCTTTTTGAAGTGTTCCTCCGACCATTCCAACGGAAACTTCGACTCTAAGACCTCCTTCGGCTTCCCATTTTCCTCCCGGACCACGTGGTCATACAGCGAGTCCACGACCGTATGGGTGACGGGCTTGAGAACGTAGTACTGGTCTTTGAAGGTACAAATAAAATCTAGATACATCCAAAACAGACTCCTCGGCTGCTTCAAGGACACCCAATTGCGCCGACCTTCGAACGTCTATCATTGAGGATACAAAAGAAAAGAGTGAGCGTAGTCCTGACATTTAGGTACTGACATACGAGCTTGTACGCCCACACAAGTGCAATCGCGTTGGGGTGGAACTGTGAAGCCGCCAGCCACAGCCAGTCAAACACTCCCCGTTGGAAATCAATAAAGAGTAGACGCGTGCCTGCTTCTCGAAAAATAAATTCATACATGAGGAACCTCATCCCTTTGAAAAACGAGCATATCTGGCGGTGTGCTCGGGGTTTATACACCTGCCAGTTCATGGAGGAACCCTCCCAGCGGTCCTCGACGGTGGCATAGGCATTAGATTCATCCATGATAAAACGAGAGGGAATACTCAAGGGCTCCTGCCCGGCCCGCGTCAGTCCATTTTTGCTCCTGGCTGGTCTGCGCTACTAGGGAATCAGGCTCGTCGTCAATCTCAACGACCCCCTCGGCCCGTGCAGCCATCTTTGCCTAAAAAGCAGAGAAAAATGGTGAATTTGATATTCCAGATCAAATCCACCAATCCACGTGGCCACCGGACAGGCTTCCTCGATCGGAAACACCCAACTAGGGTGCTCGTCTAGGAGAAGTTCTTCCTCACCACAACAACAAGAGGAAAGGATAGGATTCCCGAGACCTAGTGAGAGGTCCTCAGGATCCCCAACGGGTCCTCGAGGCCTCCATCTAAAGTCCACGGGACCCTCATCCCAGGGCCTCGGGACCTTCATTAGGTCCCCGAGACCTTCATCTAATGATCTCGGGGACCCCATCCCAGGTCCTCGAGACTTTTATCAGGTCCTTGAGACATTCATCTTATGTCCTTGGGGCCCTAATCCCAGATCCACGGGACCTTCATCAGGTCCTCGAATCACTTATCTTACGTCCTCGGGGACTTCATCGTCGATCCCCGGGGGCTTCATCAGAAGCATCATCAATTCAAAGAAGTTATGGCGTATTCGCCGAAACTTCATATTTTCCCCGGGAATTTCATCAAATCCACTGGAGAAACTATCGAAAAATGCAAAAAAACTAGAGTAAAACGGCTATGACTTACTTGGTACGATGGTTCTTGGGAGGCAAGACGGCGGTAGACGACGAATGTCTTGAAGCGAAGAAGGGGGAACACAAAAATAGAAGAGAGAATGTCTTGAATGGAGGAAGGGAAGTGTGCGACTGAAACGGGCTCAGCCTATATTTATAAGCCTCGAACAGGACTCGAGGCGTCCCTAGTCACTTGAATGCCCTACTCCTAGCCGCCCTATGCATTAATTTTCGTGACACGTAGCGGCACCAGACACCTCACGCACTCGTTCGAATTCTCCTCCTGCCCAGGGACACGCGTGCCCGTTCCCTATGACGTCTCCCACGCGCGCGGAGGTGTCGTATCATGTCGAAAACACGAAAAGCGGCTCATGGCCACGGTATGCTGGCACGACTCCCCGAGATAGAGTAGCTCGACATACGACAACATCCTCGACACCCTAGCTAGCTCTTAAGTCATTACTTCTCCAATTAGGAGCAATGACTTGGGGGGCTCCTGTTCTGGACTGGGCCGAGACCTGCCCCACAGTCGGGCAGGCCCAACCTAACACTACGCGGGGGAGGCCCAACAAGGCTCATCCCTCCTCCACGTCGGACACACTTTTTTCTGCCGTCGGGCAGACCGCTACCTAGCACGGGGAGAGCTTACGCGTCTTTCCCACGTTCTCCACATGTCCCCTACGCGGGGACACGTCATCAGGCAACTACCCACTCTCGAAAGAGTTGGTTAACCCACCTTCCGAAGATCACGGGACAGTTGATCCAAGGCGAAGATCACATGCTGGTCTTCCTTATGCCACGTAAGCCCTGACAGTTACTTATGTTGGGCCTGACAATCCGACCCAACACAATGTAACCGTTGGCCCTGTGCTGGGGCACATTATAAATACTCTTTTCTACTAGAGGGTCAGATATTCTAAAACTCAACACCTATTCTTTCTATACTTGCTTTCCCTAACTCTGTTACTCACTTAGGCATCGGAGTACCTTGCAGGTACAACCCCTCTTCCTCCGCAATACCGGCGAACACAGGAGTTCACGACGCGTGGCAGATTACTGTTGATTCCTTTATGATCAGGTGATATCACTTTTAAAGTAATATATCTATATATTGTATTTATGATAAATAGTATATAATTTTTATCATAATTTTTGTATAAATAATAATAAAATAACTCGTTTGTTTAGTGTGGGATAGCTCAAAACTCATATATGTTTAGAATCAAATAGTTACTTTTTAATCTATATTATAACCTTTTTTTTTCGACTTTATAAAATCAGAGACCCGTCATAGCCAGTTTGATTAGGATAGAGTAGTCCGTTCTACCAATTCTAATTATAAATGCATTTTAACATTTTGTCAATAGAACCCTAATTAATTTCTTCAGAATTGCACCCTCTGACTGAGGGCAACATAGTCAAACTTGCAATTTATCCCCATTTTCAAAATAGGATGCTCAGTTTGTCCCAACTTTCAAAATAGGATGCTCAATTTGTATTATTGCTAGGTGCATTAACTTCATGATGAGTACAAGATCGCTTTCCGAACTCTATATAAAGGATATGCAATTACTCTATACATACCAAATTAACACTTCAACCACACAAAAACTATATACTCTTTCTACTCTAATTTCAATGGCTCTCATATCAAATCTTGTTTTTCTATCTTCCATTTTCCTTTTTAACCTTATCGACATTCCATTCTTGATTACAAACGCTCAATCATCATGCAACGGACCATGCAAAACTTTTAACGATTGTTCTGGTCAACTCATTTGCATCAACGGCAAATGCAACGATGACCCTGACGTTGGGACACACATATGCACCAAACCTTCACCATCACCACCGAGCGGTGGTAGTGGTGGTGGCAACTGCCAGTCCTCCGGAACCCTACAATGCAAAACAAAATCATACCCTCAATATAGATGCTCTCCACCGGTTTCCTCTTCCACACAAGCATCACTCACGTTTAATGATTTCAGTGAAGGTAATAAACTATAAGAATTTATCATAACCAACTTTTAACAATATTAAACTAATTCTAGCTAACAATTCTGAAACCATTTGTAACAGGTGGAGATGGAGGAGGTCCGTCTAAGTGTGATAATCAATACCATGACAACTCAGAAAGAGTGGTGGCATTGTCAACTGGGTGGTACAACGGAGGTTCGAGATGTGGGAAAATGATTAGAATCACGGCGAGGAATGGGAAGAGTACGACGGCAAAAGTGGTGGACGAATGTGATTCAGTGAATGGGTGCGATCCAGAGCACGCAGATCAGCCGCCATGTCATAACAATATTGTGGATGGATCAGTGGCAGTGTGGAATGCGTTGGGATTGAATACAGATGTGGGTGTTGAGCAAGTTACATGGTCAATGACTTGAATGAACCCTAAGTCTATGCAATGCAACATGTATGGGCTAATTAATAAGAGTAAGCTTAATTTACACACCTTGTGCTTGTCTGTGGTTTTTAATGAACTCATTTTGCTATTGCTAAAATAAATAAACAAGAATATGCTAAGTATTGTAAAATATTTCACTGATAGAATTAAAAGTTCTATTTACAATGTTGCAACTACATGCTTTAAATAAGAGAGAATAGAAAACCTAATGGGTTTTGACTAATGGGCCTCATTACTAATACTACTAATTACTATTTACAGTCTAATATTTACAACACTCCCCCTCAAGCTGGTGAATGGATATCTATCATTCCCAGCTTGCAAGTAAGTTGTTTGAATCTTTCTGTTGGTAAGCCTTTTGTTAACACATCTGCGAGCTGATGCCCAGAAGGAACGTAAGATGTAGTTATCAGCCCACTATCCAACTTCTCTTTGATAAAATGTCGGTCAATCTCAATGTGTTTAGTCCTGTCATGCTGAACAGGATTATGAGCAATACTAATAGCCGATTTATTGTCACAAAACAATTTCATAGGGCCTTCACACTGTATCTTCAAGTCTTCTAGAACTTGTTTCATCCACAATAGTTCACAAATTCCTAGTGCCATAGCTCTAAATTCTGCCTCGGCGCTTGATCGAGCAACTACACTTTGCTTCTTACTCTTCCAAGCTACATGGTTACCACACAGAAAAGTACAATAACCTGACGTAGATCTTCTATCACTCACTGAGCCGGCATAATCCGCATCAGTGTAAGTCTTCATAGCTAAATTCTCACCTCTTTTAAACAAAAGTCCTCTCCCCGGAGTTGCTTTAAGATATTGTAGGACGCGGTCTACAGCCTGCAAATGTCTCACCCTCGGATCATGCATGAATTGGCTCACCACACTGACTGCATATGCTAAATCTGGTATAGTGTGTGCCAAGTAAATCAATTTTCCCACTAATCTCTGATATTGACCCTTGTCAACTTTGTCACTTTCCTCCTCAAAGCTTATCCTGTGATTTTGTTCAATGGGAACACTTGCAGGTTTGCATCCAAGTTTGCCAGTTTCCTGCAAAAGATCTAGAACATACTTCCTTTGAGAGATAAAGATGCCTTGCTTTGAGTAGGCTACCTCAATTCCCAAGAAATACTTGAGTTGTCCAAGGTCTTTCATCTCAAACTCTGCCGATAATTTCTCTTTGAGCAAATGTCTCTCAGTCAAATCATCTCCTGTAACAATAATATCATCAACATAAACAAGAAGTACAGTCAATTTTCCTTCCTGTGAATGTTTAAAAAATAAAGTGTGGTCTCCTTGACTTTGCTTATAGCCCAAACACACCATTGCCTTTGTGAATCTTCCAAACCATGCCCGAGGGGACTGCTTTAGTCCATATAAGGCTTTCTTCAATTTACACACCTTGTTAGCTTCATTTGTTATGCCAACACCCGGTGGAATCTCCATATACACTTCTTCCTCTAAGTCTCCATGCAAGAATGCATTTTTAACATCAAACTGTTGCAATTCCCATCCACATGAAGCAGCAAGAGATAGTAAAATTCGAACAGTGTTCATTTTTGCCACTGGGGCAAATGTCTCCTCATAATCAATACCATATGTCTGAGTATAACCTTTTGCCACTAGTCTTGCCTTGTACCGATCAAGTGTGCCATCAGATTTATACTTTACGGTATAGATCCATCTGCATCCAACCGGCTTTTTGTCTCTTTGCCTTTCAATAATCTCCCAAGTACCATTTTTTTCAAGTGCTCTCATTTCCTCATCCATAGCTTGGACCCAATTTCTATTTTGCAATGCTTCTTCAACTAATAATGGGATTTTCACAGAATCAACAGCTGCAATAAAACTTTGATATTGTGTGGAAAGATGTTTAGTGGAGACATATTGAGAGATAGGGTGTCGATATAAGGAGGGACAAGATCTTTTATCCTTCCTCAAAGCAATGGGTAAATCAACTGGATTAGTGTCACAAGTATCAGAAATAGAACAATCATCATTTGAGGAATCATTTTCAGTACTTACCTCCGGTTCAGACGATTGAATTTGTTTCTGGAGAAGGTCAGATTTACTTCTTCTCTGATATACTAGAGTTGGTGCTGAAGGTGCTGATTCCTGTGGAACATAAGGCATTGAAGGACCAGGAACAATTACTGACTCAGATTCAGGTGTTGAACTAGCACTCAAACTCAAACTAGGTGACAACTCGGGTTCAAGAGAGGGAACACTGACAGGTGTTCTCAGGAGGCTAGGACCAAGGATCAGAAACTCGGACTCAGACTCTAAGTCACTCATGTTCTCCCCCTGAGACTGAGAATGAGTGAAGTATGACACATTTTCATGAAAGGTGACATCTTTGGAGACAAAGAATTTCCGACTCGGAGGATGATAACATTTGTACCCTCTTTTATTGGGTGCATAACCCAGAAAGATACATCTGACAGCACGGGGATCCAACTTGTTGCGATATTGTTTGTGAACATGAACAAAAGCAACACAACCAAACACGCGAGACTCAAGATTATGTAAGATAGGAACAGAGGGAAAACGTGAGAGCATAAATTGAGCAGGACTAATATTACCTAACACTCGAGATGGGACCCGATTAATCAGATAGGCAGCAGTAAGAACTGCCTCCCCTCAATAAGAGGTGGGAACAGACATTTGAAACAGGAGAGATCGAGCAACTTCAAGTAAATGACGGTTTTTTCTTTCTGCGACACCGTTTTGTTGTGGGGTGTCAACACATGTGAATTCATGAAGAATGCCATGTTTACTAGTGAAGTTGGAGAAGGTATGATTGACTTATTCTTTACCATTGTCAGAACGAACTCTTTTTATACATTTCCCAAATTGTGTTTGTACCATATTATAAAATTGGATAAATATTTGTGGTACTTCGGATTTAGTATTCATCAAGAAAATCCAAGTTACCCGAGTACAATCATTGTGATACCCCAAATTTTACCCTTTCTTTTTTATTTTTATTTTAAATTCTGATTAACTTAATAAATTAACCTTTTTTTTAAATCTTGTTTTTTTAACTAATAATAATTTAATTAAATTTTTTTTATAACTTTACTAATGTTTTTTATTAACTTTTTTTTTATTTAGTTTATTTATTTAAATCATTTTAAGCTCTTCTTACTAACTTTTAGGATTTAGATTAAAATTTAACTTTTTTTTTTCTTTTCTTTAAGAGTAAAATTTTTTTTATAACCTTTTTTAAATTAATTTCTAACACATTTTTTAATTAAATTCTAATACTTTTTTTAAAATAAAAATCTAACTCCTTTTTAAAATTAAATCTTTTTTCTAACTTTTTTAAAAGATAAATCCTTTTTCTAACTCTTTTTTAAAGTTAAATCTTTTTCTAACTTTTTTAAAATTAAATCTTTTTTTCTAAATTTTTTTAAAAAAAATCAAATCTTTTTTCTAACTTTTTTAGAAGTTAAATCCTTTTTCTAACTACTTTTTTTAAAAGTTAAATCTTTTTTCTGACTACTTTTTTAAAGTTAAATCTTTTTGTCTAAAGTTAAATCTTTTTGTCTAACTCTTTTTAAAAATTAAATCTTTTTTTCTCTAACTTCTCTTTAAAATTAAATCTTTTTTTTCTCTAACTTCTTTTTAAAATTAAATCTTTTTTTTCTAACTATTTTAAAAATTAAATCTAACCTTTTTTTTAAAATTAAATCTAAATCTTTTTTGACACCATCCTTTTTCAAATTGAAATTCTAAATTCCTTTTAAAATTAAATTCTAACAGTTTTTAAAATAATTCTAACATTTTTTAAAATCAACATTCAAATATATTTTTTTATTTTAAAATTCTAACTCATTTTTTTTTTTTAAACTTAAAACTCTAATTTTTATTTAACTTGAAACTCTTATTTTCTTTGCTAACTTTTTAAATTTAAATCCCAACATTTTTTTAATCAAATCCAATCCCAATGAATTCCAGATCAAATCAATCAGATCATATCATCATCATAAGAAAATCAACATCACCATCATTGAATCAAATCTGAAATCATCATAAAAATCTACTCAAATCAAATCCGAGATTGAAAAAGATTGAGATATTCAAATTAAATCTGAGATTAAAAAAGATTTAAAAATCAAGTATAAAGGGGACGAAAATCATAACAAGAAAAGAGAACTTTTTTCGTAAAATCCAAGCAAACTCCGTCAAAAATCCTCTAGCCTCAGGACAAAGCATCATCGACCATCATCATTCCGTAAGGATCAAAAAATATAATTACAATTTTTGTGTTGCTTTTCATGTTTTTCAGGAAAAAGAGATGAAGAAGACAAATCGGCGGCCATGCAAAAGAAGAAGAAGATAACATCCGTGAGAGGCAAACAAGAAGGAGAGGAACACACGCAAACTCAGAGAGCAGAGAGAAGAAGAGTGATGACCGGCCCAACCCTTTTTTTTTTTATTATTGTTTTTCCATTTGTTATTTTATTTTGTTTATCTTTTTAAAAAAAATCAAGAAGGCCCTTTCTTTTTTATAACCAAAAACCTTTTTTCAAATTAATTAAAACTCTTTTTAAATAAAATAATCAAATGCTTTTTTCAAATAATAAAACTTTTTTATAACTTTAAAGTAAAACGTGTTTTTATCTAACATTAAGATTTTTTAAATTAAACCAATTGTTTTTTTAATGATTAAATCTTTTTTTCAAAATATTATCACTAAAACTCCTTTTTTAGAATAATTAACCAAACTTTCACTTTTTTATTAATAAATTTTTTTTTAAAACTCAAAACTCTTTTAATTAAAATTAATCTCTCTTTTCACAAATTTAAATCCTTGGTTAAAAAGACCGTAAAAGTCCTCCAAAATTCATACGGCTTGTTTCTCGTCCAATTTTGATTTCGTTTTCGTCTAACCCCATATACTGACATTTTTGTTTGTTTTGTTTCTTGCAGCTATTATGTTCAATTTGAAACTTATTTTCGGTTTTATATT